TCTTAGATCATTGTATTGCTGAGAAGAGCTAAGTCTAACAAAGCTGGTTGTTGCACAATGTTACTGTTACTGTGTACAGTATTCTCCTGGTTCTACTCACTTCACCCAGCTTCAGTTCATGTAAATACTTCCAGGTTTTTCTCAAATCCACCTGCTCATCATTTCTTACAGAAAAATAGTATTCCATTACTTTCATATGCCACCACTTGTTCAGTCATTCCCCAATTGATGGGCATCTCCTCAATTTCCAATTCTTTGCCACCACAAAAAGAGCTGCTATGAATGTTTTTGTACACGTGGGTCCTTTCCCCTTTTTTATGATCTCTTTGGGATATAGACCTAGTAGTAGTATTGCTGGATCAAACTCAGAAAACATTTAAAGCACCATCAACTCTTCTTTGGGAGTTGATGGCGACATCAAGCAAGCAAACAGTATGCTCCTACTATATGCCAGGCCCTGTACTGCTACTGGGGTTACAAAAAAAAAAGAAGGAAACAGTGTCTGCCCTCATGGATTTTACTTTCTATTGAAGGAGATATGCATATATACGCTGGGATACACATACATGCAAAATAAATTCAATTGTAATTGCAGTGAATGGGCAGGTACTAGTAGCTAATTTGAGCTGAACTCTGAAGGAAATTAGGGATTCTAGGAGAAGGTAAGTAGGTAAGAGAGCTAGTCTTCTCTAATGATGCTAATGTTCAATTGTTTCAGTTGTGTCCGACTCTTTGTGACGCTGTTTGGGTTTTTTTTTTTTTTGGCAAAGACACTGGAGTGATTTGCCATTTCCTTCTCCAGCTCATTGTACAGATTAGGAAACTGAGGCAAACAGAGTTAAGTAGCTTGTGCAGGGACACAGCTAGTAATAGTCTGAGGTCAGATTTGAACTTAGGAAGACCAGTCTTCCTGACTCCAGGCCCAGTGCTCTATCTACCTCATCACTTTTGACTTCTAAAAATTTGTCATGATCATCAGATTAACAGCAGCTTTTGATCTGAAGGGTGATAGAGAGATTTGTGGGTGAAAGACACTTTCTACTAAAAGTACCTGAGTCTCTGATGGGTAGGGAACTCATTGAGGAAGTCTACCAAAAAAATGCCATGGCATGCAGGAGGCAGCCCTTTCACTGATAACTAATGTTATTTTCTCCCCTTGCATTCTTGTCATGTTCTGACTTGAAGGTTCCTTTTCATTGTGTGGGAGTGTGTACTTGAGTTTGGAGTACGGGTTGGGTTTGGAGAATTCAGGTTCTGTGACTATGTCTATAAACATTTCATTCTCCACTGAATAAGTCAGTGGTGATGATTTGTTTGTCTTTGTACTTTTTATAGCATCTATTCCATAAGATTATGATATATCCTTTTCCCTATGTTTTTTCCTCCTACCTTTTCAATCTTATGTGAATTTGGTGGATCAAGGACTAGATGGATTAAAATTAAATCATGTGGAACATAGCTAACATAACTCACTGATTCTCTGTTACATAACAGGATTTTTCCATTTTCTCCCTTTTATCACTTAAAAAAAAGTTTATTGATATTTTTTGTCTCTATGTTACCTTCATTTCCCGATATATCCTTCCCCCATTCTCTTTCATTCCTTAAATAGAGAATAAAAAAGAAAGGGTAAAAATGGCCCAGCAAAGCTAACCACCACATCAACCAAGGCTGACATTCTATATAGTGTTCCTACCCATTCCTCGCCTCTTTGAAGAAGGAAGGGAGGTGGATTCTTTTATCTCTTCTTTGGGGTCAAGCTTGATCATTATAATTTCACAGCATTTAGATTTTTGTTTGTTTTCATTTACTTTGTGCTTATTGATTCCCTAATTATGCTTATTTCATTTTGCATCAGTTCATAAAAGTGTTCCCATGGTCCCTTATATTCTCCATAGTCATTGTTTCTTATGGCACACATACATTCCATTCCATTGATATACCACAATGTGCTTAGCCATTCCCCAATTGATGGACACCTATTTTGTTTCCAGTTCTTTGCCGCCATAAAAAAGGGCTTTATATTTCGTTGACTATGGGAACTAGTTTTTATAATTGACCTTCTTTGGGGTAAATATCTAGCAGTGTGTACTCTACCTTTCTTCCTTCTTCCTCTGTGGGTAAATATGAGGAGCCTTTTGATTCATACTCCTTTCTGCCTAGCAGTGGTAATGTGAGAGGTCTCACCATCATGGTAAACTCATTTCAATCTCTCTTCACTCTTTGACACTGGGTGAATACCCTCCACTGAGCTAAGACGATCTAATGTCACTTTCCTCTAAATTATTAAAAAGACGAATCGAGGCTAAACTCAAATCCTTCCCTACTCAATTATTGATCAGAGCATGCTTATTTGTTTATGAGATACAGCGAGGAGGTATACAGGGCACAAGGCAGAGAGGGACTTGTGATTTAGAATTGCCGCTTTTGTTACTTCTTTTCCATTGGTCAGTTTCTAGTTATTGGCTCTGGAATTAGGTAAATTTTAATTAGAGAATTGTGAGGTTCTATAGAGTACCAAAAGAATTTTTATCCCAGGGTATGATGGTAAATGTTTAACAAATGGCTCTTTAAAAAAAAAGTACACCTGACATACTTTTAATAATCTGCATTATTAATATTTTATCCATCACTTTCTTAAGAGTAGTAGTAGTAGTTGTTGTACAGTCATTTTTCAGTTGCGTCTGACCCTTATGACCCCATTTGGAGCTTTGTGGGCAAAGATATTGGAATGGTTGCCATTTCTTTTTCCAGCTCATTTTGCAGATGAGGAGACTGAGGCAAACAGGGTTAAGTGACTTGTCCAGGGTCACACAGCTGGTATGTTTCTGAGGCTGAATTTGAACTTAAGTCTTTCTGATTCCAGGCCCAGCTCTGAGCCACCTAGCTGCCCAGGTTGTTACTTTTCTGGTTATTTGATATAGCACTTGAATATCTCTCTGTATAGTGTGCCTCTGAGTGCCACATATTCACATGTATATCATGTGTATGTTTGACAGGAGAGGTATAGGGTCATAGAATTTAAGTTTGGAAAGGACCTTAGAGATCATCTAGTTTCATTGTGTCACTTTATAAAGGAAAAAATAGATACAAAGAGAGTGACTTGTCCAATATTGCCTCAATGTCTACCTCAGTTTCCTCATTTGCAAAATGGAGAGGATAATAAGGGTAGCTAGGTGGCATAGCAGATAGAGATCTGGGTTTGGAGTTGGGAAGATCTGAGTTCAAACCCAAGTCTCAGACACACTTATTAGCTGTGTGACCCTGGGTGAGTCACTTTACCACTGTCTGCCTCAGTTTCTTCAACCATAAAATGGGGACAATAATGGTACCTACCTGGTAGGGTTGTACCAAATGAGATGATATTTACAAAAAGTGATTAGTACAGTGCCTGGCCCATAGCAGGCAACATAAAAATGCTTATTTCCTTCCCCCTATTTCCTTAATAATAATGCCTACCTCCCAAGGTTGTTTGTGAGGATACAATGATATAATATTTATCAATCACTCTGTAAATCTTAAAGTTTACTTGAATTCTATTCTTGTTGTCATATAGCAATTGTGTGTTAGTTACTCAGGATTTTGTTTGTACACTTAACTTGTTTTTGACCCATTTTCTGCACTTGATACTGAACTTCTTACTGACTTCTTTTATACTTCCTCACATACTGTAACATAGCCATATTGACCTGTGTGCTATCCCTCTTACGTGATGCTATATTTTCCATCTTCATGACTTGTGCTGGTGGCTTCCTATGCTTAGGAAGCTCTGTTTCCTCACTGCTGCCTCCTGGAATCTCTAATTTCCTTCGAAACTCAACTAAAGTGCCACCCTCCACATGAAGCCTTTCTAAAAATCTCTCAGACTTCCTTCCTTGCATTATATAAATATATAACTACACATATGTACACACAGATGCACATATCTGTATATATATTCTGTCTGTAATGTATGTCTCTATATATACTCACATGTATATGCATACATATTGTCCCCTCCCCTTTTTAGAATATTAGCTCCTTGAGAGTAGGAATCGTTTAACTTTTGTATTTTAGATTCCCACAACTTAGCTAGTGCCTGGCACATTTGTAATCCAGTTGTTTCAGTCTTGTCCAGCTCTCTGTGACCCCATTTTGAAGTTTTCTTGGCAAAGATACTGAAGCGGTTTGCCATTTCCCTCTCTCCAGCTTGTTTTACAGATAAGGAAACTGAGGCAAACAGGGTTAAGTGAGTTGCTTAGCTAGAAAGTGTCTGGGGGGCATATTTGAACTCAGGGAGATGAGTTTTCCTGACTCCAGGCCCACCATTCTATTTATGGTGCCTCCTAGCTGCCCAAAATGCACCTACTTGTTTGTATATATGTGTGGTAAAATGAATGAATTGCTGAGTCTGGAGTCATGTAGACATAGGTCCAAATCCTATGTCTAGGCACTTACTAGCTGTGGGTTCCAAGCCTCCTAAACTCTATGTGCCTCAGAACTCTCTAGATTTATCTACTAATTCATAAATAGTTATAATTTGCATTGGTTATTCCAATCCAGGAGTTCCCAATGCCAACAAAATCTCAGATCTTTCATGTACTCGTGCGCGTGCGTGCACACACACACACACACACACACACACACATATATATACAGTATAAATTATTATTATTATTATTTACAAAAGTCACTTTCTATTGCCTTGTTGTGACCTGGAGATGACCCAGTAGCCATAGCAGCAAAACATAAGCTCTGAACATGGTCTGCCACTGTCATCATCATAGGCTTATGACACAGAAGAATTATGCAATCATTTGGCTTTTTGAATAAGAAGAGTCTAAATTCAAAATTAAATAATTTTTAAATTCTTCACATTATTCATTTTAGTAAGGTCAATTTAAGAAGTTTGTTTCCAATGAAACTGAAAACTTAAAAATTTTGAGAAGTTATAAATAACCATTAAACTTTTCAATGATCAAATTAAAATTTATTTTTCTTAATTTTTTTTTATTGATTCACTGTTTAAAAAGCAAAATAATATCCCTTTGTGATGGATAAATACAAATTGTTTGAAGATAAAATCCACTGACATATATGAAACAACTATAAGTAAAGACAATGGGAACAATTATAGTGGTGGAAATACAGAAACACAAACTAGAAAGGCCAAATACAGAAAATCTGATCTACTATCACTGAGATTCACAATTGCTATTATTGATGGAGAGGAAAAACTGCTATTTTCTTTGTATGATTACATTAACCACAAATAGCATCAGAATGAAGGAATTGAAACGGTATCTTGAAACTGCATTTGCAGAATACATATAAGACAAGATAACCTTTCCTGAGAAAATTAAATGCTTTTAGGAAGCAAAAACAAACTTGAAAAAAAAGTCTAGAAAAAAGGACTGCTTGCACTGTGTGAGTACATAAAGAATTTCTAACTGTAATATGTCTTGTTCAATAGAAGAAATAGCAGTGCTTTCTGCAGCTATTGCTATAGTAGAAATGATGATTGGTGAATTATAAGTAAAATAGTCTTGAAAGGTTCTACCTTCAGATAATATTCAGGAGAACAGAATTACCCAAATGTTTGAAGACCTTCACCATCAATAAATTGAGAAGCACAATTTTTCTAGTTTGTGTTGAAAGTGGATGAAACGACAGATATAGTTAAAGATGGTTTTCTGACATGTTGTTGAAACTATTATTGGATATGGTTTGTTATGTTGGAAATCTATTGAAGATAATGCCATGTCAAGAAAAATTCTAGATAATTGATGGATTTTGAAAACAACAATGCTGTAATGTGAGATTAAATTGACAGAGTTCAGTCAATGTCAAGGTGAAAAGCAGATCTACAAGCAGTAGTTAAAAATGTGGTCCCTCATGTAATTTTGCCATATTCCATGCTTTAAAATTGCTTATATTGAGAAATATGAAAGAGTAGGCATAGATAATTTTTAAGTTACAATTTGATTATAAGAAGTAATTAACTTTATAAAACAGTCAATTAAAAAGGAAGGCTCTTTGCAAACTTGTGTGATGATATGGGAGAGGAGCACAGAGAACTTTTTCTTTTTTCTTTAAAAATTTTTTGTTTTGCCTTATTGCGAAACACACATACTTCCTTATATCAAAGTACTCTGGAGGATGTTGTACTAAAAGCATAAATTTCAGTTTCCTTAATGTAAAAATGAATATGAAGCAAATTCATTTCATAAAATTTTCCTCTTAAAATTTTAGTTGAGATTCTTGGGAAACTTTTGTGAATATTTTTGAAATGAGTGCTCTAAGTAGGTCAACACAATATCTTCAAATGCTGATTTAGAAAAATTAAGTGACTGCATTTTTTTAAAAGTTAAGAGCTATTGATAACAAAATTACAAAATAATATGTTTGATGTGTTTCTCAATTAAAAAAAAACTTGCCAGCTAAAAAAAAGAAGAAATCCTAATTTCATGTTAAAGACCTAGAAATGTCTAAATATGACTAGATGACAAACCAATGTGTCAAACATATTGAAGAGTAGTTAACAGACTTGTCATGTAAATGTATGATGATACAATTGTTAAAAGCTGAACTTTTTATTATATATGATCAGAGGTGAATAAAGAAACCTGTTTTTAAAAAATGAATACAAATTTGTAATTCATAATGTTATCTGTATGAAATAGATTTTTTTCAGCTATAGTGATTATAAAGACAAAAATACTGATTTTGCTTAGTGGTACAAAGTTATGAATGTCAATATCCTCAATGACACCATGTTATAAGAAATTTTTTACCAAAAAAACTCACCCATTCTATTCATACTATTGTTATGATTATTTTAATAGGTCTAAAGATGAATTATAAAATGTTTGATCAATTAATACATATCCATAGCTGTTATTTTTGTTCTATGTTTAAAGTTTGTGTTAAAAATTGTAATAAAGTTTAAACTTTATTTGAATAAAATTTGAGCTGAGCAAATTATTTGATAGGGTTTTTTTTTGTGAAAAGTGTGAGAGGTGTGACAATTTTGAGAAAATGGAGCCGTAAGTATATAAAGTTTGCAAATCTCTACATTATAATTATATTAGTTCTTCCTGTATTAGGTTAGGGACTGTCTTAATAATTTTGTAACTCCCAGAGTGCGGGCAGTGTAATACGTATGCTTTGGTCACGGACCTAATCAATACTACGGCATGGACATTTCATGAAAGTAGATTAGATTAATTTTGGCTTCATCTATACAAGAATAAGGATCAATGAAGATTAATAAGGAGATGCCTGGTAAAATTGCAGCAGAAAGGCTTAATCCCACATTAATGTCTGCAATAATCTACACATCAAAGCTATCTATATAAAACAAACAAAGCCTGTCTACAGGACAAGGAGTGCCACAGAAAGTCAGAGGCTATGTATCACACAAAAAGTTTTGGGCGCAGCCAGGGTGGTAGTTAATAAATATATGGTTCATATAGCAGATTGGATCACAAATATCCAATCGTAAGGCCCAAAATTTGGTGGGATAACCAATGACTGAACTATTTGGACAAAGACAGAAATGGTGATCAGGGGACTCATAACGATGCTATTTAGTGAGCCTATGCTCTTTACTGTGATGAAAACAGATCCATATATGAATTTTTAATGTATATCCCCAGTCCTGAGACACTATGCCAAGCATGATGCCATGAACAAAGTAGGCATTCAAAAATATGAGTTTTTTAACTGAAGAAAGATTTTACTATGAAATTATGAGGTATACATTAAAATGCCTCTGGGAGTCCCTGGGGAATGGCTAATTTCTCATAAATAGGCAGAACTTTTAAAGCAAATATATAGCTATGTTAAATATACCACAATTAATTCTAGAAATAAAAATTAGAACTAGGCTCATTTCCAAATTTATACTTCCAGCTCTGGACTACCACTTCCCATATTACATATAAAAAGGTGTAAGGCACATTAGGTCACAAGCACAGAACTCAAAGTTGTGATCTTCTCAGGTCGAAGCCATAGCTTTTATTTTGTACAGTTTTGGCTCCTGACCCCAAATGATCCTTTGCTTGTTGAACATGGGTGTAAAAAAGTTGCAGCTAACCCCACACTGCTTTATTTTTAGCTCCACAAATGCAACTTATTTGGTTTGTGCAAAATCTGATTTTAGGAACTCGGACGTTTTATCCGGACAAGTCTGACAGGGGGTTGATAACACCGGGAGATTCAGATCTGTCACTTTTTGAGCAGTCTTGTGGTCTGCTATGTTTCTACTATTCTTATTGTGGTTAGAAAGGATTCTTGGCTTCTCCTTACATTGCCTCAAATTTCTTCTCAGGGACATCTGCTGCTGAGACATGGGGACCACAGGAGGTCTGGAACTGTTGACCAGAAGCAGAGGGGATGCGCTTGACGCTTGCTGAGGTGTTTTCATCCAATAAGTTTTCTTTGAAAGACCCTTCTTCAAGGGCATGTGTCTAAGCCTAGGTAAGGGTGAAAGCTGTGGAGATGTAGTCATTGATGAATTAGCACTCCCCTTTTCTTGGGGCTGCCATGTTGGGTTTGGAATATTTTCATCCTTGCGTCTCAGGAGGTCTTTAAGTCTTGTGTCTTGAGGAAGTGTGGGGCTCCACCCCTCACCCTTGCCTATACAGGATGCTGCTGATAAATAAGACTTCGGTTTTGGTAATTTTGTGGAGTGAGTCTCTAACCCCAGAGGTGGCACTTCAAAAACATATGGTATCTGGGCTTTAGGTGAGCCTCTGGGACCATCAATATTCAGGGGGAGATCTAAATATGGCTGATTTCTTGACTCATCTGAACCTCTTCTATTTGCAGATGTAGGGAGTTCAAGATCACTCTGCTCTCTCTCTGAAAAAGTAGAAACTAAGAAGAATAGAGAATAAATGTAATGAGGCCAAAAGATATTTAACAAAAGATAAACTTGCCCCAAGAATAGAAATGGATAATGAGGTATACCTAATTCCATAATGTACAAAATGGAGAGTTGAGCCCACAGTCCAGATAATTACAGAAAAGGAAAATTCCTGCTTAAATGATCAGGATAGATAGATGAAATAGATATTGTAATTATTGGTTTTGGCCTAAATTATTTCATTCATTAACTCAGTTCTCCACTTCACATAATAAGGATGGCAGACATATCTTAGCATTTAGTTGTCTAAAACATCAATACTTTTAGGATTTATGATTTCAACAGTGGCCTCTTCCTCCAACAAAAAAAATGCATCTGATGAATTATGGAATAAAACTTGTGAGCTCAAATGTACTGAAATGCCCATGATACGCATGCAAATTGCACTATCAATCTTCAAACTTTTTTCTCTTTTCTTCATTTTGTTTCAACTTTCTTTTTCTAAACTTTCTTTTCTAACTTTTCTTTTTCTAAAATTAAGTATAAGAGTAAAAAGGAAAAAATATATTTTTAAAAAGGTAAAACGTAACCAGTTTAAAGAAGACAGTTCCTCTTGCACTAAATTCTGGGTTGACAAAACATTTAGTAATAATAGTTAATATTCGTATAGTACCTTAGGACATAAGCATCATTTTCCATTGTTTGTTGATTATACACCATCCCCCATCTCTCACCCCAAATGAATTGTTGAAACTAGCAATGGAGAGAACCAGCAAAGTCTTACATTCTATTGGAATATAGATTCATTGAACACAGGAACTTTTTCCTCTTTTCTTTGAGTATGCTCAATTATCTAGCACAAAGATTTCATTGGAACAGGCAACTCACAATAAGGAATTTTCTCTACCATTGCAGGTTAAGAACTGTGAGGTGATGTATGATCCTAAAGAGTTTCATGAGACACTGAGAATTTATGGGTCTTGCGTAGGATCATATTATTGGTATGTATCAGAGGCAGGATTTGAGGTCAACAAGTGCTATCTGTGCTCTGAAGGCCAGCCTACCTAAGTGCAGAGAGCTTTCCATCTATGGGACAGCCACTTGGTGCAGAATTCTTTGGCCATAGGAACCCATGAAATCAATTTTTGAAATTGAAATCAATTTGCTTTTGAGCCACCCCTTTTGATTGGTGTGGTGATGGCAGCAGCCTTACAGAAAGGAGAGAAGAGAGTGCCAACAATCACACAGGATTTTAATTCAGGTATTCCTGACTCCAAAGTCTGCTTTCTATTCTCCATGTGAGGAATATATGTTTATCTTTATTAAATTTTATCTACAACTTTTTTTTGAGGCAATCAGAATTAAGTGACTTACCCAGGGTCACATAGCTAGTGTCTGAGGTTGGATTTGAACTCAGGTCCTCCTGATGCACTAGCACTCCCCTTTTCTCCTGGCTGCCATGTTTGGTTTGGAATATTTCATCCTTGGGTCTCAGGAGCTTTTAAAGTCTTTCGTCTTGAGGAAGTCTTGAGGGGCTCCACCCATCACCGACTCCAAGGCCAGTGCTCTATCTACTGTGTCACCTAGCTGCCCCTATCTACAACTTTAACTCCAGAGTCTGTGGTATCTCATGACTCACAATAACACAGTGTCACCAAAAGAACACTGATGTTAAGAGAATGGGTTTTTATTTCAGGAAGAAACTTGGGGTCATTTCAAGTGTCTCACAATTTCTTAGATTCATTCTAGCTTACTCTTTTCCTTGTATTTAAATTTCCACCCGTGTTTACTCTCTGCAGGGTCTATACAAGATGTATATACTAAAACATCAACCATACGGGCTATCCATCTAATTGCATATCACAATCCGAACAGTAAACATTTTTTATCCTATTGATTTTGCCCTCTGTGGATGGTTTGGCTGAATTCTTCTGAGTGATATAAGATGTGATTTGAATGATTGGTGAATTTCCATTAGAAACTGCTGTGGCAGTCTGAGCTTATGTAAGTACTCCACTAGCAACTGGAAATAGAAGTATGTAAGGATGTCACCATTTTTGGGGATCCCTCTCCCTTTTGGACTTTTCATTAAATATCTTCCATGACAGTGGCTGATACCTTTAACAAGGTTATACCATCCTCTTTTATGCATAATTTTATATGACAATCAGAAGGATATAAAAATTTTCTATTATTCCATCTTTCAAGGAATCTTATATGATTTAGTACATGCATAGGAATTAGATTGTTGGAGAAAAGTCATTAAAGCAGTATTTTTGTTCTATTGAATCAAGTGCTGTCTTTATTTGTCAACATACAATAAGCACAGTAGGATTTTGAATTCACTCTACCTTTGCATTAATTGTATGGGGCAGCTAGGTGGCTCAGTGGATAGAATGCAGGGCCTGGAATCAGGAAGACTCACCTTCCTGAGTTCAAATCTGGCCTCAGACACTTACAAGCTGTGTGATGTTGGGCAAATCACTTAACTCTGTTTGCCTCAGTTTCTACATCTGTAAAATAAGCTGGAGAAGGAAATGGCAATATCTTTGCCAAGAAAACTCTGGATGGGGTCATGAAGTGTTGGACACGACTGAACAATAACCACAAAAGAATGTAAAGCTATTGTCTGCTAGTTTCTAGGAGGACCAGTGTACCAGCTTTATATTTTGCAGCTATTTCCTTTTGTCTTCTGGTTTAATTTCTATTAAAAATGTCTAGATTGCTATGATTCAGTTCCTCCAGTCTTATGTCCACTCATGTGTCACTAGACAAGGGTCACCCATATTTAGAATATGAACAGGTAAGCTAATGTTTATAGATAGTTTAAAAACTGTATGACTATTGGCACCTTCTTTTCCCCTTTCTGCAAGGGTGCTGCCATCATTGCACCAATCAAAGGGGGTTGCTCAAAAGCAAATTGATTACAATTTCAAAAATTGATTTCATGGGTTCCTGCGGCCAAGGAATTTGGCACCAAGTGGTTTTCCTATGGATGAAAAGCTCTCTGCATTTAGGTCGGCTGGCCTTCAGAGCACAGGTAACATTTGTTGACTTCAAATCCTCTCCAAAGCATGGTAGAAAAGACAGCTTGTGTTCTGCTGATGTAGCTAGCCTTGAAAAACCAAGGGTCTCGCTCATGCTGCAATGAAGCATCAGAGCAGTATTTACAAATAGCTGAAGTAGGATACAAACGCTGTGAAAGTTTGATCCAAGGTTCTCAAAAGGTGATGATAATGATGGGCTAGCAAGCTCTTGCAGGGCCTACCAAGTTGGAAATTCATCAAGTATAAGACCAGTGACAAGACTGCACTTTGAGGAAAAGTCATGCTAAGTCTAAAGACGTTTGTCTTTAAGAGGGTTGGCTATAGTTTTTTGATTATATTGCAGTGTTATTGTAGATACAGCCAAGAAGCAGTGAAGGCTTCTAAGAGGAGAGGTGTGAGGACATGGACAGGAAAAAATTTCCAACTGTGATGTAAGACAGCTGAAGCTGAGGCTAAACCTTAGTTTGATAGGGAAATTAGTCCAAAACCCTCTCTCACTGATATAGAAGATTACTTAGTTGTATATGGAGAGTAAATATTGAATCCCAGTTAATACTTTCACCTCATATCTATAGTTCTTGCCTGCTCTGTTAATAGAACAGGCATTAGATTGGGACTAAAGACAAATGTTAGACCCCATATTGAATATAGATACTTGAGAGAATTTCAGAGTGATTTGTGTTCCATTTGATAAAAGCAAGTCACGAAAATCATTCATTCTGTAGGGCAGGGGTTAACAAACTGCTGAAGGCCAAATTCTGCCCACCATCTAATCTTGCATGGCCAGTGACCTAAGTAAGAATGGAGTTTATATTTTTAGATAAAATAAAACCTTATTTAAAAATATAAAAAACAGTCCCAGGTTGAGGGCTGTACAGAGAACAGTCAGAGGGCTGTATTTAGCCCTGCAGGCAACAGTTTGCCCACCCTGTGCACTGGGGCACTGAGAGTGTTTGTCTGTGATCTGAGTCTATGGAAGGAGGAACCTAGATCTGTGAAATCACAGACCTTTGACATACTGAAGTGATAGGTGAGAATAAATGGCCTGTCCTAGATCATGTAGACAATTCAACAAACAAGCCTTGGTAGCAAAACAAAACAAAACAAAAAACCCTCAAAAACCAAAATGGACTAGGGACCTTATGGTTCCTGGGTTAGGCAACAAAACCTTCTGGCCACACTAATACAAAACAGGGCAGCAGATACATGTCTCCCCATAATACCTGCCAGAAAATTTTCTTGGTTTTCCAAAGTTACAGCAATTTCATCTTCCTGAATGATGTCTAGCACTGTTGGGTGTTGTGCAGAGAGAAGAGTCTTGTCATCACCTTCTTGAAGGCTCCAAGTGTGGCTGCTTTGGTCTCTTGCAGACTCCGAGTTTCTCCTTCTGGATTTGGATTCATGGTTTTGGGAAATTTGTTATCATGTCTTGAGAGCATGTGGTTTTTCTGAAATTGTTAAGGAAATCCTTTATGATATAATTAAAATGATAATAATTTGGCAGTAAATAAAAATTCAAAAAGTTAGTTCCAACCCATGTTTCTTACTTATCATTAAAAGAAGCAGTGGCTATGATTATTTTTTTAAGATCACCAACTTGGTCTAATTTTGTGAAACTTCATTTCAAATTTATATTACTTATTTTTTAAAAAAACCTTATGAAAAGAGAGATTTAATATTAGAAAAACTCAGTTTGAATTTGGCTCTGTCACTTTTAAGCTGTGTGACTTTGGAGACAGATAACTTACTTGCACCCTTTCCTGTAAAATAGGGCTAATAGTATTGGTCCTCATCAGGGTTGTAATGAAGATAAAATGTATGTAAAATACTCTCTTCTTACACTATTATTCCCTGTTTGATGGGACATATTTAGTGTGCTTCTGATAGTCACATAACTAAAATTACTTTTTAGATATACATACACACAGAGAAAGTGTTGACTTTAGTCCTTTAATCTGAACATTTTCTGGGCATTTGGGAGGTCGTAAACATTTAGGCAAAGCAGTCAAATAGTCTTTCGATATTTTACATGCTACTAATCATAAAAAGATTTTCATTAATACTTTTGCAAACTATTACTATGTATGGCATATCAGAAAACCCATTCTTACTGGTTTCATTACCAGATGCTTAAGAGCTAATTGATAAAGCACATGAGCAAGAAAGTTTTCGAGCAGAAACTGTGCTTTCTTCATCATCTAAACATGACATTTTGGATAGCTAATTGTAATTGCGCATTCTGCACTACAGAACAGGCAGCTAGGTGGTGCAGCAGATAGAGCCCTGGGCTTAGAATCAGGAAGATACATCTTCATAAGTTCAAATCCAGCCTCAGACACTTACTAGCTGTGTGACACTAGGCAAGTCACTTGACTCTGTTTGCCTCAGTTTCCTCATCTGTTAAAATGAACTGGAGAAGGAAATGGAAAATCTCTCTAGTATCTTTGCCAAGAAAACCCCAAATGGAGTCATGAAGAGCTGGACACAACTGAAAAAGGACTGAATAACAACTTCCTGTCTCTAGGCCCAGTGCTCTAAGCACTATGATACCTCGCTGGATAAAAACAAGATAACTGTATAAAGAGTTCTGCACATCCTAAAGCACTATGAATGTTAGCTATTCTTTTTATTACATTTTGTTATTTTAATTATTTTAATCTATAAAAAAATTTTTTTTAGGCAATTGGGGTTTAGTGACTTGCCCAGGGTCACACAAATAGTGTCAAGTGTTTGGTCTGAGGCTGGATTTGAACTCAGGTCTTCCTGACTTCAGGACCGGTGCTCTATCCACTGTGCCACCTAGCTGCCCCCCACCTTTTTTATTACATTTTGAACAGGAAAATCTTAATCATGTCATACTCAGCTTTTAAAAAAGGGTAAATTTCTCAGAGGATACAATGTTTGAATATGTGAAGTTTTAATACATCTTAGTTATTCCTACTTATTTTCTTTTACAGCATACGTGTAGTATCTATGCATAATGGACACGCCTATATCTATATCTATCTTATCTATCCACCCACATACACCAAAGTAATACTGTTCCCTTTACAAAATTTTTCCTGTTAAGAAGTAAAGAAAGCTGGGGCAGCTAGGTGGCGCAGTGGGTAGAGCACCAGCCCTGGAGTCAGGAGGACCTGAGTTCAAATCTGATCTCAGAAAAGACACTTGACACTTACTAGCTACGTAACCCTAGGCAAGTCACTTAATCCCAATTGCCTGGCCAAAAAAAAAAAAAAAGTAAAGAAAGCCTACATCAAGAGTGGGGAACTTGTGGCCCTGTAGGTCCTCAAGTGGGCCCCTTTGACTGAAGCCAAACTTCACAGAACAAATCCCCTTAGATTATATTTTTTCCTTCTATTGAAAAGATGAAAAAAAATCCTCCTATTAAAATCCTAAGCAGAAAACAGGACTGTTAGTTATTGTCATAGCTAATAAAAGAGAAAGGGCTCTGAATACACCATCCATTTCAAAGATCAGCAAAAACAGTCAGGTACCTTGTAGTCTACTTGGTTTGCTAGCTATGAACCATACCTATGAAGTGGTCATTTAACTCTATAGCTTAATTTTTTTTAAATTTAGAAAGTTATTTCTTAGAAATCTTTCCTTGGAATTGAGGCTTCAGAGAATTCAAGATGGAGAATTGTTACCTTTTCCTATGTCAGTAAATTCAAATGCTCATTTTTCACTAAGGGCCTTGATGAAATGAAGAGTGCACCCCATAAAATAGAAAGTACATTTATTTATTTTAGCACCTCTCAACTCTAAACAGGCTACTTCTTGTAAACTAGCCAGAAGTCAGAAAAGTAATTCAGGTTTTGATTTGGTCAGATGGTGAAGAGAGAACAGGTTAACTGTAATAATAACAATAACAGCAACAACGACAACCACCCTATGAGTATGTTATTATTATCCCCATTTTGTAGATGAGAAAATTGAGTCTGACAGAAGTTAAGTGGCTTGTCCAGAGTAGGAAAACCCTAGTAAATTCCCACCTAGTAGTACTACTTTGAGACTTCTCTTCCTTGCCCCAGGAACCTCTTTATTGGGAAAACCTCAATCATCTTGCAAGATCCCCTCAGCCTTGGGATACCACTTCAGTACTACCGCCTCTCTACCTGGTTGGAGTGTGGGGCCCTGAACTTCAAGCTCTCCATTTAAGGAGGGGGCTCAGCTCAGAACATCTCATTTCTCATCTGGCTGTAAAACTCTGGGACTCCTGACTTCTCTATCATGCCCTTATGTTGAGTACCACTCCACTGCCCACCCCAACCAATCCTCTTCCTTTTCTATTTTGTCTTCCTCAATTAGATTGTAAGCCCTTTCTTTTTGCATTTTAGTGTTCCTGGCACTTAGCATAGTGCCTGGCACATACTAGACACTCAATAAATGTTTATTGAAAAAAGTATCTGGGTCAATATTTGAACTCAGGTCTTTCTGCTCCAAATCCCGAGCTCTTTGATACCTAACAGTAGATAGAGTTTGGGGAACCTGGGTCATTAAAACTTCCTGGGTCAAATGGATTAAGAGTTCTGACAAATCCATGGCAATTTTCCCAACGAGAATATAGATGGGTAAAAAACAAAAACAAAAATACCTCTGACATATCTGAGAAGCTAAATAATAACGGGGAGCACCACAATTAAGTTGCTGAGGGGAAGCAGGGCAAGGTTCAACAGTTCTACCAATTCTACCTAACCTCTTTCAGTCCAGTTCTTGTGTTGATTTGCATGGCAATGGAGGGAGGGTGGTGGTGGTGGTGTGCGGGAGGGGTGGATTATGAATGTCAAAAAGAGTCTCCTTACCCCAGCTCTACCCAGCTTCATTGTAGTTCTACTAAGCATAATTCTCAAGATGATTTGAAGGAGGTTCAGACTGAAGACCCAGGGGTGTGAAAGGCTTAGGAAAAAAAAAATCTGGACCCTAACTTAGTTAAAAGTTTGTCCTAAGGGAGTCAGAAGAACAGCAAGGGGAAAAAATAACTTCAGAATATAGACAATCTAAGCCTCAGAAAGTCTTTAGGCTTTTCTTGTATGTCTAAATGGATAAGGCTGTGATGGACTCTGGCGTTATAGCTGAGAGATTTGAGAGAATTTGCTCAAGAGTCAGAGTACTCAGTTAAAGTCTTTCCACTGACTCTTACTGTGTGTGATCTTAGATCACTTTGCCTCCTTGGCCCTCAGTTTCCTCATCTGTAAAATGGGCTCAATGGTGTTTGAAGTCTAGCTTTAGATGATTAATTCTATGACTCTTCAAGGAAAATAATATGTATCAACAGCTGTAATTCACTGAAAGATCATGGTAGCACAGTGCAGGCAAAGGACTCAAAGAAACCCTCCCATAGCTAAAGATGTCTAGAAGTCAACAGCAGCTCAGGGGAGATGCCCAGCAGAGAGAATAGAGCAACAGGGGACCCCAGCTCAGCTAAGAAAGCAGCTTGCCTATTGATATCAGTTCTAGTCTATCCCCAGTTCCCTACCTATGTGTGATCCCCAGCCAACCATATTCCCTGTGGTATCTTCTTTCCTACTGTTGATTTGTTTTCAGTCCTGCCCGACTCTCCATGACCCCATTTGGGGTTTTCTTGGCAAAGATACTGGAGTGGTTTGCTATTTCCTTCTCCAGCTTATTTTACAGATGAGGAAATGGAGACAAAAAGATTGAATGACTTGCCCAGGTTTACACAACTACTAAGTGCTTGAGGCTAGATTTGAACTCAGGAGGATGAGTCTTCCTGACTTCAGGCCCAATACTCCATCCATTGCACCACCTAGCTAACCCATGAGAGAGTGTATTCTTGGTTTTGGGGGAGGGATCATTCTTGTTTCTAAACCTTGACATGTCTGTATCCACACCTTCAAAGCCTTTTAATCAAGGCTATGTGTAGAGCCAACTCCAGGGACCCCTTTCCTACCCCTTCCCCCTTTTGTTTTATATAGAAAGGAAGAAGAAAGAAACACTGTAGGGTGCTGGGGCTGTCTGCTTTCCCTAGAGTGCGGTAAGGGCTCTCACCTTGCTGGAACTTTCAGATTTGGGGGAAGTGTGACAATTTAGTGGAGGAAAATTTTTTTTTGCTTTGGATGATATGCTTTAGAAAAAGAAAAGGAGTGTTTGTGTGTGTGTGAGTGTATGTGTGTGTACAAATATGGATGAACAAACCCACATTTGGCTTGAACTTTATAAACTACAGCAGATTTATCATCCTACCCGGTTAAAAAAAATCAGATCTTCCTCCCCTATACAGATTAAACTAAGTAAAACAAATAAAATAAACATTCTTTTCTAGACATTTGGCACAAAGCAGGATCATTCTTTCCCTCTTCCATTTCAAACATGAATAACTCAACTTAGGAATTTAATATAATTTTTAAAAAATCTAAAATATCCACCCAAGCCAACAGGGACAAAGCCTGCAAAATCTCAATTTGAAGGAGGAAACCCTCTTGCTGGAACTAATGCAACTTTGGATAAAAGAATAAGCATTCTCTGGAGCACAAATCAGTCTTTGGACCAAATGATAGTTACCCCCCCCTTTTTTTTTTCTGAGTTGATGAGAGCTCTATTGCACATACGCCTTGGAAGTTAGATCGAAAACTCTTTGCTTGCCAAATTTCTGCCTTTTCCGAGGCAAGCTTTTGGTTGAGCTGTGGGGAACACCTTTATTAAGATGACTTGAAGAGGGAAGTTGGAAAATCTGTAAGAAGGCCTTTGGCATTACACAGAGTGGAGCCAATGGGATAGTTATTTCAGCACGATGGCCTAGATGAGTCATATAATTTAGCTTTTGTGGTCTGGTGACAGGACCAGGGGTGTTGACCAGAGAGTGTGAGTGAGCTGTTTCAGAATGGTCTGTGGGGTCTAGACAGAACTGTAAGATGCCTTCCCTACTGAATTCCCCTTGAGGAAAGGGGCTGAGTTTCCTTGCTTCTGTGACCATGTTAGACACTGACAACATACCCTGGCAAGGTAGCTACCTAATCCAGGATCTCAGAAAGGAAACATCCCAACATTTGAGAAACAGCTCCCAGAATGAAAGAGTAGAGTCAGATATAACACTGGTATCTCAAATTGTTACTTTACTCCTATCTTGTCATTTAGCTTTTTCTGGGCCTTAGTCTCTTTTCCCAGCTAGACTGTGGGAAGGGACCAGGTCCTATACTTCTCTGAAAAGTTCACAGTATTTTGAGCTGGACCTTAGAGATCATATATAGTCCAACTTTCTAATTTTAAAAATAAGGCCAAGTTAGAGGAAGGGACTTGCTGGAGGTAATACAGGTGGTCTAGGGCAGAGCTGGGGTTCAAACCCAAGCCTTCCCACTCCAAACCCACTAAACATTGTCATCCTCCATAGTAATTAACATAAGATTTTACACAAAGTAGATGCCTAATAAATGTTCGATGAATATATGAATTATTATAAAAATCTTTTTTTGCTATGAAAGATGATACAAAGTCTATACTTAGAAAGCGAAATATTAAAATTTGACCCCTTTGCATCATCCATCTTCAACATTATCATCATCTACTTAAACATTTAACAAGCTCCTATATTTATTTTGTGGCCATCATAACTATTCAATTCCAGGGAAGTGTTAAGAAAAGAATTATTATATTATTTTTTTTTAGGCAATTGAGGGTAAGTGACTTGTGCAGGGTCACACAGCTAGTGTCAAGTGTTTGGTCTGAGACTGGATTTGAACTCAGGTTCTCTTGACTTCAGGGCTGGTGCTCTATTCAGTGCACCGCCTAGCTGCCCCAAGAAAAGAAATATTTTGAAAAGACTGACTGCATTTCTCAGTGAAATTCATACTACAATACCTTCAGGTTTTTATGCTCCCTTTGAGACTTCACTAGTTTCTTCAGCAGCAAGCTGTAGGATGCCATGATGGAAGATGGCTTGTTGTTTATCAGCACACTGATAATTTCCGAGAGACCAGGTTCCATGGTGTTTGCCATGTAGTTCAGAACTGTGGAGTTAAGATCCTCAGGATGGAGCCTGAAAATGTCAAGACAAGTATTTCATGAAAGTTTTGGACTCAGTTGTATGAATGTCCAGGCTATGTTGATGTGTTTGAATGGGACAGATGCCATCATCTGGGAAAATTGCTTTCATTAGACCTACAAAAATTACACAAAAATGAGATGACAGAATTACGCTTGGGTAACATGGTCTGCCAATTGTCCTATCAATCTTATGGTAGAAGGTGGGTATTAAAACAATGGATCATGTCAACAAGAACATCCCCTTTTGAACGATCTCTGCTGCCTGTGAATCAGTTCTGCTGTTATTCAAAGGTACCACTAAGATTGGATGGATAGATGGGTAATCTTGGGGTCTGTGTAGTCATAATGGCAACAGAGGTATGAAAATCTTAAGGCTATCTATGTTTGGGTTAGTGATGAGGGAGAAATGTGATAAGTGATTTTTTTCTTTTTTAAATTTTATTAATTTATTTTGATTTATCAATAAACACTTCCATATGCTTTTGAGTTAAAAATTTTTCTCCCCCTTCTTCCCCACCGCCCTCCCCAAGATGGTGCACAATCTGATAGAGGCTATACATTTACATTCCTATTAAACATATTTTCACATTAGTGAAGTTGTAAGTAAAAATTAAAACCAATAGGAGGAACCAACAGAAAGAGGAAAAAAAACTCAACAGAAGACAAAAAAAGCAATTCAACATTTATAGTTCTTTCTTTGGATGTGGATAGCATTTTCCATCATGAGGCCTCTGGAGATGTCTTAGATCCTTTTATTGCTGGAAAAGGTTAAGTCTATCAAAGTTAGTCATTGCACAACATGGCTGTTATTGTGTACAACATTCTCTTGGTTCTGCTCATTTCACTCAGCATCAGACCATACAAGTCTTTCCAGGTTTTTCTGAAGTCAGACTGTTCATCATTTCTTATAGCACAATAGTATTCCATTACATTTATATATTGCAACTTGCTCAGCCATTCCCCAATTGATGGGCATCCTGTCAATTTCCAATTCTTTGCCACCACAAAAAGAGCTGCTATGAATATTTTTGTACATGTGGGTCCTTTTCCCATTTGTATGATCTCTTTGTGATATAGCCCTAGAAGTGTTATTGCTGGGTGAAAGGGTATGCACATTTTTATAGCCCTTTTGGCATAGTTCCAAATTGTTCTCCAAAATGGTTGAATCATTTTAAGTGATTTTTTTTTTCCAAGGAAAAATCCTTGCTTATTGAGAAGAAACAAAGAGTGGATATAAGTGGACTTTTCACTGGATGGAAATGTACAAATAGTGGTTTCTTCCAGGGATAAGTATTAAGACTGACATCACTGGGAATTTTTTTAATGCATAACTTGGAGGCAAAGTACACAGAAAAATTGCCTTTTGGGCAAGGAAGTGTCAAGTTGACTGTCATAACTTGCAAGAAGAACTTAGGAACTTAAGATTATAGTAGAAAAGGGACTGATATGCTTCAGCGTGAGCTGCTATAAGACAATTAACATTAGGAAAAAATAATTCAAATGATCCTTATTAGGCTGATGAGTGTGAAGTTAGAGAAAGGACTGAGAAATAGTTACATAAAATACTCCCTAAAGTCATTGGTTCAGTGACTGCTATGACTGAAACTGCCTTCAAATAAAAATAAAATTGGTGACTGATTGGAAGTTGAATGTTGAAATAAAATAGAAAGCATTATATGAGTTCCCTAAAGTCAATAATGCAACTAACTGTGCTTGGATTCCTATATTGCAGTTCTGATTGCTATACCTCAACAAAGATACATGGAACTGAAGAAGATTCAGCATCTAAAATAATGATGGGAACAGGGATCATGCTATAGGAGGAGAAAGGAAAAAAAAAAGAATAAGAAGCTTCAGCCTGGAATGATGAAGATGTGATATAACCAAAGTATAAAATTACAAAGAGCAGTGGTTCTCCAAGTGTGGTCCATGGACCCCTGGGTCAGAAGGTCTGTGAGGTCAAAATTATTTTCATAATACTCCTAAGAGATTATTTGCCTATTGAAATAGTTTTCCCTTTTCCAGCTACATATTTGTGTGAGGTCAGATTTTCTTCATATGCTTAAACCAAAATAATATATTGTGACACATCGAATGTAGAAATGTATTTAAGCAGATTTATGATATATAACCTCATGTGGTTGTTCACTGTTGCTAGACTATCTTTCGGTCCTCATCGACTCCTTATCTCATTCCAAAACTTTTCTTCTCTTGTCTTCAATACTGATCCTTAATCCCAAACCCCAATCCATCCATCCATCCCATTCATTTATCCATCCATCCATCCACAAGCATTTTTCAAGGGCCCACTATTGCAAGGTACGGTGCTAGCTGCTGGGGATTCAAAGACAAAAATGAAGTAGTCCCTGCCATTGAGGAGCTTACACTCTATCCAAGGAAACAATAAATACATGTATAGGTGTTTACAAGGTTAATAATAATATAATTTGGTGGGATGACACCCTGGTATCCAGGGTAACAGGAAAAGCCTTATTTGGAAGGTGAAACCTATATGGGCTGAACTTTGAAGGCAACTAGGGAGTCTATGAGCTGGATATGAGGAGGGAGTGAATTCCAAGCATGAGGAATAGCCTGTGTGCAAAGGCAAAGAAATGGGAGATAGGATATTGTGCGTGAGGAACAGCAAGCCAACCAGAATAGCTATACTGTAGAATATGTGAAGAGGAATAATGGGGGGGGGCAGAGAATGACAGAGGAAGCTTGGAAAGGTAAGTTGGAAGCAAAATATAATGGGCATGAAATGCCAAACAGAGGAGCATATATTGGATATTACAAACAATAGCAAATTTGTTTGGAATTTGGAGATGGATATAAAATTTGAGTGTATTGAGCTGAGGAATGACATTGTTGTTATTTAATCAATATCTCTTTGGCAGACATCTGGAGGATGGATAATTACAGCAGATGACTGAACATTCTACTTCCCTGAGAACATAGGGAAATCCCTTAGTCTTCTGCCTCAATTCCTTAAAAAGTTTTCAATATTATCTACTTTCTTCTTCTTCTTTTTAGTCACAGAAGGTATCTCTATACCTTTTTAAGACTCATCCCTTTACCCATACTCATCATCGTGTTCTCTCTGGTCTCTTCCAGGATTCCTTCTGGGACATCATTTCCCTGTTTTCCTCATGTATCTTTCATCTTTTCCTCAGATTCCATCAGTACACCAAAAAACTTCAATAGGTTGAAAATTGAGCTTATTATCTTTCCTCCTAAACCTGAAACTTACATCTCCCTACAAATGTTCTCAGGTTTCCCCAGTCCTAATAATCCTTCTCTCAACCCTTATCATTTATCCAGCTTTTGATCCTATACTTCATTGCCAAACTTATTGAAAGCATTTTCTACACCTGATGCTTCTCCCCCAGTCGTTTATCAATTATCAGCATATTATACTTGAAGATTTGAAGAGTAAAATTTAGGGTAAATAAAAGTATTACTTCACCTTTTGGGTAATATACTTATGGAATCCATTACCTCAAAAACTGGTACAGATGGAACATATAAAGAACTTTGAAAATGGTTCAGATATATTCACAGATGACAGGGCCTTAATGGGTTACTAAGGGAAATTAGAGTATTTGAGTGAATGGCCTTAACTTTTGAGGTGGATGTCAAGAAAGACAATCATGTCTTTCCTTAACATGTCCCTTGATGCCACTTTCAGAGACCAAATGTTGAGCTGAATAGTTTGACACAGAATGTTTCATATATTTTAAATGCACTAGGGGAGCTCTATACAGAAGAAAACTGTGGGAAATTATTGTGAGAATATGAAAAATCCTTTTATAAAATGGATAAATTCCAACCCTCTCTTGATTTTTCTGTTCTGTAAGTTTTTATTTTGGCACGTATTTGGCATATTTTTAAATGATTTCCTTCTTAGTACAAACTGGGAATCTATACTAGGAATTTATGATTGAGATTCTATAGATAGCTACGGGGAACATACTAATAACACCTATCATTTATATGTTACTCTAAGGTTTACAGAGTGCTTTACCTACAGTTTCCCATTTGATCCTCAGAACAATCTTGTGAGGTAGGTGCTATTATTATGCAAATGAGGAGACTGAGACAGACAAGAATCCAGTCACTTGCTCAAGGTCACACAATTACTAAGGATCTTGATCTCCGCTCTTCCTGCCTCCAGCTCCAGTGCTCCACGCACTGAGCCACTTAACTCCTTTGAGCTACCCAGCTTCCAAGTTTGATGTCCCACCCGCCTGGGGTTGGGAGGTGGGTCCTAGGGATGGTTGGCTCTTGTTCTTTATTCTTGAAGAGGACCAAAATGACATCACCATGCTAGAGTTAAGTTTCAGTGTGTGTGACTGCGGCTGATCAAGCCAACATGAGCGTAGAATGCTCTACCACAGGTCGGGCACAACTAGTCTGTGTGAACATTTGGAGCGGAGTCTCTAAGTCTGTGCATCTTGTGTTTCTCTTTAGCTATTTCAAATCTGCTTTGCTTAGAGGGCACAGCCCTTCTCTGATGTGGGTACACTATGTGGAGTGGTACTGTGCCAATGTCTCCCATGTCATACAATCAATTCCAAAGTTCTTAAGAGACAACTTGAGAGTGTCTTTCTATCGCTTCCTCTGACCACCATGTGAAGACTTGCCCTGTGTGCGTTTTCCATAAAATAGTCTTTTTGGCAAGCACACGTAATTTTCCATAAGCCCTCACGACTGACTGTATCAAAGGCCTTGGTCAGATCTACAAATGTGTGCCAACCTCTGTTCTGCTCTTGGCATTTCTCTTGGAGTTGTGGGACAGCAAACACCGCATCAACCATTCCTCATCCCTTTCTGAAGCCACACTGGCTCTCAGGTAGATGACCATCTTCCAGGTGAAGGATCAGCCTATGAAGGAGGACATCTGGCAAGAATCTTACCAGCAATGACTAAGGGAGAAATCTCCCTGTGATTGTCACAGGACAATCTATTTCCTTTACCTTTATAGAGATGGAC